CTAGGATTGAGATTTGTTTCATAGGACATGACCACGATACAATTGAATTAGACATTTATTATTATTTAGAAATATTGTACAATCAATGTTAATAGACTTAGTTGGATTTGACTTCGTAAATTACCGGTAACAATAATTTTATTTGACGCGGTAATTTATCGTATTGGTGTAATATATTTTAATGTATTAAGTAAATAATTAACTAAAAGGTTTAAAAACTAAGTGATTATGTAATGTAACCGTCAAATTTCTACTTAATTCTATTAAAGCAGCGGATATTTTGCTGCTATCTATTGACAATTTTCTTAACTACAAATAGGTAAGAGTTATTATACATGAAGGTATAAGCACAGGAACAGTAAGCGCTCTTTGCTACCTCTAACGGGCCCAGTTTAAAATCGATGAATTATAACTGTTATGATTGGTACTTTAAAGATAAAACGCAAATTTATTAGTGATATAAAGAAAAATTAGCGTTGCCTCATTACATTTAGCTCCCTAAAAAATTATATCCCTGAAGAGGTCACAATTTGGCCTAGGAGAGTTAGCATGATTATTTTTACGAGGGGAATATGAGAGATAGAACCTCCATGATGAAAGAAAACATATGATTAAGATAAATTTTTGAGTTAATATAATTTTTAGTTACAAGAGAGAGGGGTTCTCAGCGTAGAATAATTACTATCTGTGAGTTATAGTAAATATAGAGCATCCCAAAATACTACCCCGATTTTCATATTTTCTTAATCTTTAAATGCTAATATCTCAAAAAGAAATAATACAAAATTGGTTATTCACCAGTTAACATTTTATTTAGACCATTATCTATTCAATAGTAAAAACCCAGCACAGTGGGGACGTGGCATAGTTGAGTCCAGTATAGATTTAATCTGACAGTGATTAAAATCACTATCATAAAAAACGCCTCGATGCAAATCTGTAGATACTGTTTAATTTTTAGAAGGAATTGTTGAATTATTCCAAAAACAACATCAACATCTATTTTCTTAATTACAGCCTGATTTACAGTAATTCTTTGATTTATAAGTATAATATTTGAATAAATACTAATTATAGTAATTATATTTAGTATGAAATTGATAATCCATAATTTAGTATTGCAATATTTACGGAGAAAATATAAAAAATTATAATGTTTTTGTATATTTTGTGAAATCTATAGTAAACATGTATCAAAATTGTAAGTACATATTTATCAAAAAAATGCAGTAGTTCAGGAACATTTACAAAACTAAATTGTAAAAATTTTGTAAAAAAAAGTTGCTATATTGAATTCCTCTCGGTGGACAGGTAAAGGGTCAGATTATCATAAAATTTATATCAAATTGAAAAAAAATACGTAAGGTTTTTATATAAAAAAAATTATTTTGGTTCGTTAATTTTTCAAAAAGCTATGGCAGTTTTAAGCATCAAAATAACATTGATTTTTTACACGACGATTACATTTTTTGTTTAATTTTGACGGTCATTTGCACATAGAAGATAGGTCGTCGGAACAAAATTTTTTTTTCATTTTATAGTAAATAACATAAGTATTAATTTGATTTATGTTTAAAGGACACAATATTTCCGGAACATTTTTAATAGTTCAGTTGAAAAAGTTTCTATTTTAAACACCTTCTTATGAGCAGGTTAAGTGTCAGCTTTTCAAAAAAATGACATAAAATGAAAGAAAAATATCTAAGGTTTTAATATAAAAAAAAATTATGTTTATTTGTTAATTTTTGAAAAAGTTATGGTAGTTTAAAAAAAAAAAGTGAAAAAAATGACGAAATTTACCGATTTTAAAAATCGTAATTTTTGGGAAGATTTTCACTATTTATGAGGAACGAGGGAAAATTTTTTGAGGGTCATATCTGCAACTAGATACGATTTGTGATCTTTTGACGTATCGTTGAGAAAAATGGATCCAGTGAGAGCTAAGGAAAAGTAGTGACATACACAAAAAAAAAAATAAACGCATCACAGTAAAATTAATACCTTCTCAGCTTTGCATCGAAGCTAAAACAAAATGATTTTTCACTCAAGAAAATAGCTTCCCTTATGAGGAACCTATTTTCTTAACTATCAAAAAAAGATTACCAAACATTCATTGTTTACATCACTCAAATTATTTAGTTGAACTGATATCTATCATTAAATTTTTCAAATTTAGTGGTATCTTTACAATGATTAAGATATGAATATTATCTAAAAATTGATTGCCTAGCTTAAAAGAATCACTTTGTATGTTAATTCATGTTAAAGATTTCCAATAATACTAAACTTATTAAAATTGATAATTTTTGTTGTAAAAAAACTTTTCCTTATAATATTTTATTACATATTTAAATAAAAGTCATGTTAATTTGATAAGTTTAGGCACCCAAATTATTGTGATTCAATTAAGTTTAGTACTTTTAATATTAACAAAAGGAATGGGTAATACTAAATTACTAAATTTTAAACTTATTAACAACATGAAAACCTTTTTCTTATAAATTCCTTTTGGAAATTTTATCGTCTTTCATTGTAGAAGACATTATTTTACAAAACAATAATAATAAAAATAATAAATGTTATTTTTAGTGTAACTAGAAGAAAAATTAATTTTCAGACGAATCATATTAAAACTACCCTTTGAAACATAAAACAGTATGTGTAATTTGTGTAGTTATTCTGGGTTAGTCCAACAATTAAAGCCACCCCATTAATACTTATGGATGTTATTGTACTGTTATAATGATATAAATTTAAAACTATATAGCAATTTTGTGAAATATTTTTAAATAAGTAAGTTATTTTAAAAAGTACAATAATATTTTCATTCGATTATTTATAATGGAGTGTATATTAAGGATTGTTCAAGTAATAAGAGTGTACAGTAAAAAATCTGATTACTGAAATACTTCCAAATATTTTATACTGTAACAAACCGAATACTAAAATTAAAAATCGAAATTCACTTGACCTCATTAAACAATCATGTTTATGTTTATCATGATAAATGTTGTCAAAAAAAAAAACAATTAAGAAAAAAGTTTTTTTTAAATCTATTTTTGATAATATTTTAATTTATTAACTAGCCGTCTTATGGTCTAGCTGCCTCGTACAAAACAAGTGTATTTTAATCATAAGAATAGTAAAATTAAGTTGCTATGCGATACTTAATATTAATACATAAATGTTTATGATCAAGTATAAATTAGTTTGTTGTTTAATTTTGGTTAAAAAAAACTATTTTATGTGCTTGTATTGAATTATCGATATTTATTAAAAATTTTGTTAGAAATATTTTGATACATTAATTTTATTGTATATAACATTATTACGTTGAAGGTGAAGAGTTTTTTTCGTCTATTAGCAACATTATTTAAATGCTGTGTTTCGGAGAATAAGAAGCATAATACAAGTGGTAATGTATCTTAGTTCAATCCAGCTCATATATTTTTTGAACGAATAATATTAAAATATATACAAAAAAGTATATTGGAAAAATGCAAAAAGATAAAAATATACTTAAATATAATAAATGATTTACTATACTAAAATTTGATGTTACATAACAGGATGAATAATATATTAAACTGGATAAAAAAACAATTTTTTGTGGAATATTATATTTACAAATGTAAATATTGATTGACTATTTCCTAAGACGATTTTAAGACTATAGACTTAACAATGAATTATAGGAGATAAGTGCTGTTAATGTTTTTGTAGATGAATACATTAATAAGACAATGTACCTTCATCTATATTTTGCATAAATCAATTTTATAAATGATACTTTTTGATGTCAGATTATCATAAAATTACATTTTTTTAGTACGCGAGTTGTATTGTAATCAAAATATTTAGATTTTATAACTTTAAAATTCAGGGAAAAATTTTAGGGGCTTATGGAAGTTTATTCTTTTTCAATTTAACCATTTATATATATATATATACATACAGTTAACGTATCAATGAAATATTTCATTAATAATTTATTCCAACTTGAAAATTAAAAATAATTTTTTTTATATAAATAAAAGTAACGTCGTAAAATATATAACTTATATGAGTTATATATTTTAATGACATAAAAAATGTGATTTAACACATGTTAAGACATCTGGCTAGTTAAAACTATTGTTTAACCCATTGTCTGTCATAGTAATGTGAAATCTACATAACCTTTAAGTTCATGATCTGAAAATACATTTGTACTTTAGCTCTGATGAACAACGACGCTTATTTGATCATTTTGAAGCAGGAAACAAACAGGCAACAATATTTTGCTAACCCATCCAATAAAAATAAAAATGTACTTATAAGACCTTATTTATTTTCAAATGGGGTGTCAGAACGCCTACCCTCCCTCTTGGTATCCTTCAAATAGTGTGATATTGATGTTTTTAGAGAGTAACTCAAAAAAGGACTTATAATATACCTATTTTATATAGATACTATAAGAATGTTACTAAAAGAAAAAATACTACAACATAGAAAATAAAAAATATTTTGTTTCTGCAGTAAAACTTTTAAAAATATATTATTACTTAATTAATTACTACCTTAATTTTTCAATTACTTAATGTACTTGTTACGATTTTTCATATACAAAAATTATACAAGTTGAAGTGATTAAATTTTCATTAAAATACCATAATTAAATTTTTTAAGTTCAACTATTAATAATAATAACACTGTTCTACGTAATATTTTAATTTGTAATCATTATAACCAAGTCTCAATTAAATATTTGACATTATGTCAAATCTATCCTTAGATTTCATTATTTAAGTCTAGTTGCTTAGTAAATATAATAATATATTGAGCTTTCCCCGCAGTGTTACTATTGTAACAATTAACTCTCAAAAAGTACACTTTAGGAATTTTAGTGAGATATTCATTTTATCAAAACTATATAATTTTGTTATACTATAATAATAATGAAATTAAAAACATAGAATGTATCACAACGCAAATTAAAGATATCGATGTTGAAAATTTAGTGTCAGTAGGTGGTGTGTTTACTGTAAAACAAGAGAATGGCAACGACATGATTGCTGTGGAAAGTATGGATTTACATCATGATGCGAATAATCTTTGCACTTCCCATATTTTAACTGAGGAGGATCGCCTAAATAATTGTACCCCAGAACTTGAAGTAACAGCTATTGAAGAAGTAGTGTTCATGGAAACGAGTAAACACGAAGAAGATGTTATACGCTATTTTGGAATAAATGATGAAGCCGGTAGAATTATTTAAAAAAATGGAAAATTTTATAAATTTTATAAGGTAGGCATATTATTTTATTATCATTTACATGACAGAACCTGTGTTTAAAAAAAAAACTAGTCAAGTTTTTAATACATAAATTAAGGCGGATGGAGTATACATACACCAAAATAAATAATCTTAAATTTCTTGTAGTAATTGGGCATTGAACATAAAACAATTCTCTTTTAATCTATGTAAAAATAGCGCATTTTTGTTTACCCCAAAAATAGTTGAAAAAATCATGTTTCGCAGTTCAGTCATGACGTTGATAATATATATTGGTTAATTAAAAAAAAATCCTTTAAAATTGTTTTTTTTTTAGAAAGATATTGTTGGTTCTTATAAATATTATAAATCTGCCCAAAAAGCAAAGTTTGTTGTCGATGATTTATAAGCAAATTGGGCGAAAGATATAGAAATAGTTGGAGACATTTATGGTCAACGGTAATTATTAAATGATTTAACAGTATAAATAATTGAATTAATTTTGTTATTTTTTTGTATCTATAGATGCTATTATTGTTTAATGCATGGTTACTATACAGAGGAATGTATTCAATTAGATATTGATTCTTTAAATTTTTACTATCCTTACATTTAAGGTACTAGTACAATCTGCTTGGTTATTCTATTTATTCAGTTATTATTCAAATTTAATATAGTACAAATTTAATGTGTTAAGTAAAAAATACTATTACACATTATAATACATCTAAGTACTTAAATTTATTGTTAAAAATGAAGATTTAAAAATATTGTAAATAATATTTTACGTAATTGTTAATCAATAAACAATATATTGTCATAAATTAAAATTGTATTTCAATGTTTTGGCAATAGTTTTTTCAATTAATTTTAAAAAAACCAGCACAGTGAGGACGTGGCATAGTTGGATCCAAAATTGTTTTAATCTTCTTAATAAAAGTATTTTTTTAGAGAACTTAATATCCCCTAACTGACTACTCGGTAAAAAATATGATAATTTTTAAAAATTGTAGTAATCTTATTAATAATATAATACATAATTATTTTTTTTTAATATGAATATTGTTTTAGTGGAGATTATAATGAAATAATATAGACCATTATTACACACAACAAAGTGATTATAATTGATAAATATTTTAAAATTCCAATAAAATATTTGATAATATAAAATTTTACTCTTGTTAGACTACTAACACTACATCAAATATGAAATATTCATAACATAGTAATACCAAGACAAAAACTAGAATCTTCATTTTCAAAGTTGTTTTTTTAATTTTAATCATAGTAAAAAAAATATAAAATTTCTTTAGTACTTTGATTCTATTTTTAACCAAAACAAATTAATATTAATTACATTTTTAAAACGGACAAAATAGCATGCATAATTTTATCTACTGCAAGTTTTTTCTTATTTACGACGATAAATAAATATTGATAATGCAATACAATAATTAATGACCATAAGTGTTACTTATTTTAAAGTTGAAATTTTGTTCTAAAACATCAACTATATATTATTAGAGTTTCATTGAAAAATGTTTATTGTCATAAAAGTAAATATAATCTATAAATATTAAAATGCTGTAATTTTAAAATTAAATTAACTATCGTTGGTGTACAAGAAAGATGTAATTTATTTATTTCACATTTTCTAAAAAATGTCACTTACCTCGTTTCTACGAAAAACGATCGATGTTATCTTCAAATTTAAGAATTCACCATAATACTATTACATTTCAAATTTACTGTTATGTTTTTATCACTCATCGTTATTATATCATGTATATTTTTTAAGAATTTAAAAAGGTGTCGATATTTATTTAACAACGATAAAAGTTTTTTGAAATTAGTTAAATTGCTATTATTATGTATTATTTACATAGAATGAAATTATTAAATAAATATTAAACAGATGATTTAATATCATATTAAGCATGGGCGACTTAAGGGGGGGCTGAATGTCACCCTGAACTAACACTATCAGTTTTTTTTAAAGACTTCATTTAAGAAATACGATTCTAAAGACTAATTTTTTGGTAATCACTTAGCTTTTTAGCAAGAAAAGAATTTTTCTCTAGTAAAGTAAAAAAAAATCAAGTCTTCTCCTCTGAAATGAGTTTCTAGATATGGCCATCAATATTAGGAAGCTAACAATATTCCTAAGTGACACAAAAAAACTAACAGATTAGTTAAAAAAAAAAAAATTCATCCAATGAATAAAAATATTTAGTGTTAAAAATTGTATTAAAATAAAAAAAACAATTTTATATTAACTGTCTTATTCATTTTATATAGTATTACATAAGATACATATTAGAAAATACATAAGTATTTGTTTTATTATTAAAAGCTTAGACTAGAGCTCAGTTATTCTTCAATGTTACATAAATAAAAACACTTAATATTTAAGTGAAATACATTTCTTTTTTCAATAATCAAAAAACATTCCATAATATTTTTATTTTAGGGAATATCTGTTATTACCTTGATGTTACCCTTTTTTTTATTATTTGAATTGAACTATCAAATAATAAGTATTGATATAAACATATTTTGGTTTACAAATTACTTAAAATTAACATTAAAAAAAAAAAATTTTAATTAATTTTTTGATACATCATTTACATAACATTTAATTATTCTTAAATATTAAAATGAATATAATTAACAAAATTAAAAGATATAATTACAAATATACCTTTAATTAATTGTTTGAGAATAGGAATTTAATTCTTGTAAAATTCTTAATTTTTTCATAAGAATACAGTAGATATTTAAAGATATTTGAATGAAGGAATGATGATGGTATATACTTTTGTAATCATGTAATTTGAAATTTGACTATACTGTTTAATATAGGCTTTCAGTATTTGATGACCGGGGTTTTTTAATTTTATCAAAGTTTTTAATGACAATATCATGCATAGTTGAATAACGGTTACGAATTTCATGCATAGTTAATGACATAGTTAGATATTGTTTTTCATCTAACTCTTCCACGGAACGTCTATAATCTTCTATATAAGGGTATTTCACAACCTAGAATTATTGGAAGTTATATAAACATTTAAATTTAAATATAAATTTTTAAAAAATATATTTTTACAGCTACTTACCTTGCTGATTAATTTAGCACGTGCAGCATAGTAACGTGAAATTTGATCAAGATAATTTGATGCTTCAACTTCTACTTGTTGTATTTCAGCAAGGGTATCTTCTTGTATTGATACACCAAAATTATTACCATCTTCAATTTTTGGTATTAACAATGAAACCCACATTTTTAACTAAAAATTAAAATTATTGTGTAACATATAAATATATATATTAGGGTGGCTCAAAAAAAATCGATCTTCGAAATGTTTATGAGATACCTCATAAATGTATTATATACATTAAAATAAACATTTTATGAAAATTTGAGATTAAAAATAAAATGTTTACAGGTCGCTCAACGCGTTTTATGAAAATTGACCAAAAATACTCAAAAAAACATAATATATATATAATATATATATTTCTTTAATTTAAAATCAAAATAAAATATTTATATCTATATATATTATATATAGATATAATATATATAGATATAAATATTTTATTTTGATTTTAAATTAAAGAAATTTTTATATAATTGTATTATTTATAAACAAAATATTTTAATTTTAATGCCAAGCTGATAACGCATTTTTATTATGTATATAATAATGAGTATAACTGAAAAATAGTTTATGGTATGAAGTCTATTCACTTATTAAATCACTGTTTATTCATTAAAATTTTTGTTCATTAAAACAAAAGAAAAAATAAACAATAATCTTTAAATATTTTAATTAAGTTAAATATAAATCAGGACCAAATTATTTAATTGAAAATTACAACTTTTTGTTACCTAAAAGTTTTAATAGTTATTAGAACCACTGATAAAGTATATTTCTGAAAATTACTGATTAAATATATAGCATAATGCATAAAATATTTTTTTTTTTACAATAGAATATTTTAACAGTAAACTAGCTCAATAAAGTTACAATATCAGTGTTCTGATTAAAAAGTGCTTAATATATTTTTAATACTAAATGGAGTTGCTTGCATAATTGTATTAACCGTAGTATATTATTTAATAATGTGAGAAATAAAAGCTTTAAGGCTATTTTTAGCAACTCTAAAAAAAAAATGCACATAGCAATTAATATATAACATACTTATATAGATAAATTAAATATGAAAAAAAGCAAGTTGTATTGTACATATTTTAATATTTCATGCACTTTAATAATAATAAAGTAATATATAAAAATAGTATATGAATAAAATACAATAAATAATTAATTGTGAACAATAATTGATTAATCCCTTTGTCTATCCTAAAAAATAATAGAACTGTACAATATGAGGTATTGCCATTATTCAATAGAAAAAATAGGTTTGACTTTATCATTCCATAAATACATATAATATTAATAGTTGATGATTGCAAAGATTTGAATTTTATCAAAAGGACTTGGATATTATTTATTATTAATTATATTGGATGTATAATTAAATACTGCAAAATGTATTGTTTGATTGTTTTAAAAAAGATTACTTTGAAATATTAAGTTAAATTTAGGCAAAATTTTTGGATAAAATTTTAAGATAACAAGAAAAAAGAAATAAAACAGATTTTCATGAGTGTTCAGTTTATGACATTATTCCTACAGTATACGTTCAATTGGTCATAATATAAATAGTTACCTTAAATTGGTTTAGTTAATTGATTGGTTATTGATGCATTTTATAATGATAGTAAACAATTTGAAATTACTCAATTGTACAAATATAAGGTAAGAAATATAAATAATTATATACGCATGCAACCATTAGTAAAATAAATAATTTAAAAAAATATTCCTCTAAACAATAATGCCTGAATTATAAAAAATAACTATCTCAGGGTCAATATTAAAATTAATATTATATAAAAATTGTATTAAATTATGAACTATTTCTGGAATATACTGTAAATTAGGAATACTTTACACAAAAAATATAGCAGTGTCAAAGAAGTACCTAAGGTACTCTTGTATCTAACAAGAGAAAAAAATTTAGGTATAAAGTAACAATAGATAATATTAGAATTGATATAAGTTTACAATATACTTAAAATTATTTAAAAAATTTGAATATCGCCGAATTTCATACTAACAATAGTCGTAAACTCTACTCTTCTTTTTTCCTTGCCTTTAACCCAACTACTTAAGGTTGACCATCCTTATCCTAAACTTCCACTTGACACAATCTCCCACATAATCTACATACACACATCAGGCATCCTCATATTACATTCAATAACATCCCTTTATCTCTTTTTCAGTCTTCCTCTACCTCTTCTTACTGCAACATTAATTTCCATAATTGTTCTTACAGTTTTCACTTCCTTTCTCTTCTACTGAAATGAGAGAAATCAAATTTTAGTAGACATAAACTCTATTCCTACAGAAAAAATATTTAAAGAGTTAGTTTTATAACGATAACTTGGTTTTTACTAAAAACTTTGGTACTGGTTTAATAATTTTTTAATTAACTCTATGTTAAGTTATTGGAATATGAAAAAAATAAAACATACTGCATTTGTATCTTCAACTAATTGTTTTATGTTTGGTTTGACAATTTTAATAATTTCAGTAAGATTTTTATTAGATGGTATCATTGTTTGTAAATTTGAATTGGAGTTAGAATTGTCCACACGAGGTCTTTTACCTGGAGGTTTTCCTTCACAACTAAAAAAATTTTTAATTAATAATACAATAGTATATTTTAAACAAATAAAATGTATCCACATGAATGATTTAATTTAAAATGTCATTTTATTAATAGAATATACATTAAGTACTTACTGATTTACATTATTTTCTATTTTTCCTATTGGAACACCTAAACTACACTTAAGTTTTGACATATCTGTAATACTAAATTCAGGTCTTTTAAGCAATTCATTAATGTGAATAATTCTTTCTGGGAACTTTTGAACAATGCGATTTTCAGCCTAGAATACATATTTTTTAATAATATTTTAGTAATAATTGTGATTCAAGTAATAAATAATTTAAATTTTATTTTAATATAATATTAAAATGATTAAAAATTAAATTCAAATTTTATGTTTTATTTTTAATAAAATGTAATTTAAATCAAATACTTAAGATTTCAAAGTAAATATCATTTTAAATTTTTTTGTTTTTAATAACATACATAAAAATAATTTAGAACCGAATCTCAGTTTGTAATTATATTATGAATGAAATGTTAAATTTAACAAAAAAACAGTTTTTAATGAACCCTTTGAAAGCCCATAAAATAATGTTAATATTATTTTGGAGTAACTATATAAATTTTTTAAAACTCATTTAGTTATACATACATCAACCTTAAGTGTTTCGTGAAATTCTTTGGCCTGTGAAAAAAAAATTGTCATTTATTTAAAAACTAATAAAAAAATGGTATAATACAAACAGAAAAAATAAAAAGATTATTGTTATAAAACATTATTTCATTACAGTTCGTTAAAGCAAATAAAAATTAAAAAATGTTTTATCATTTCAAATAAAATGCTTTAAAATGATGCTTAATAATGTAGTAAGTAGAAATAACATTTGAATATTACATAAATTATAAAATCCTAAAATTAATTATAAATAAATAATGGTTCAAAATAAGAATTGCAGGATTTTATATAAATATTAATTTGAAAAAATTTAATTTTTCATCAACTAAATCAACATATCATTGATTTATACCTTTGCTGCTGCATCAGACTGGATCTGAGTTTGAGCCATTTTAATTGTATTATAAAACTGTGAACAAAACAAAAACTTGTTTTTTTTTAAAAAAACTAATTTATTTATTAAATGGACACAATACAAATTAATTGTAAGTAACTATGTTGAATATTTTAACCAAAGCCATGAGATTATGTGCAATATACAATGATGAATAATAATAAAGATATTATCGACAAATTTCAAATAATTTTCAGGTTAGTCTTTCTTCTATAGCGGTCACGGTATGATAAGTCTTTAGTACTTTATCGAATAGATTTCGCTAATATACAGAGTGATAATTTCAACACTATCAACTCAATTCTCTTAGAATGATAATTTTTTTGGCATATAGTTATTTAAAAGTTACTTATGTTTGTGTTACTATATTTGAAACATGTATACTATATTTCATTAGTAAAAAAATACATAAATATCTATGACAACAAAGTAATCATTTAGATGATTTAAATGTAAAAATTTAAAGAAATAATATTTAATGATCTCTAATCAATTAACATCTAATCAATGTCTAGTACAAAAAGAAAAACTCTGTGTGAAAAATATTTATAATAAATGAATAAAAAAATAATCCTTGTATCAATAGTCATAACAATTATTTTGAAATTAAACAAAATTAGTCTTAATAAGGGTAATTTAAATAGTGAAAAAAAAATTGTCCATTCCCTATCAATTGGAAATATATAAATGTTCACTTAATATATTAGTGACAACAATAACCAAAATTCAAACAAATGAAACATTTGCTAAACTTACAAAATATATGAATTATCAAATATGTAATTAAACAGTTTATTAATAAAAAAATATTTTTTTATTTTTAATAATTTTTTCTTTAAATAATAAATACAATTACTAAAACTAGAATAAACAAAATCAAAAATCATTATATCCATCAAGTAAACTTTCAGAAGTTATTAACACTACGGATATTAAATACATGTGTGAAGATACGTAATCAGGATTACATTTAAGGGGATCAATTTTAGTCCCATAATGAAACATTTTGTCGGGTAGTGGATAAAATATTTGATCCACGTTTGTAATTAAATTTTTTTAATATAAATAAAGTATTTTTTGGTACTATCATTTATTAACTATACTTTGTTTTTTTAACTCTAATGGATTTAGTAGCTAATTTACAAATTTGTTTTTTTCATCATTTTCTTTGTAACATTCTTCTAAGCTTGTTTTCATTTTTTATTGATATTTGATGTACTTCTATTTAATGGAGATTAAAATTATTATACTACAAACACAAAAAAGTAAGTAAAATCTATAAATATATACTTTATTAAAACATAAAGTTCAATGACATTACATGATCATACAACATTCATTGGCAAACATAAGTAGTACACATATAAATACGTATAAATTTAAGTTATAACTTCTATAACAATAAATAAATCTTAATCATAAAGGAACATGGATTATACAAAATGAGAACATTTATGAATAGCAATTAACAAATACAACTTTACATTAGTCTACTTCCTCAACAGTTGGTCCTCTTGACTGTTGTTCTCCAGGGAACCTACTATTTCCAGGCATTTGGGAACCACCTCCTCCTTGTCCCCCATGCATTTTCATCATTAATGAAGAACACTTGCCTTGCAGTTCTTTAAGTTTGTACTCGTATTCTTCCTTGTCAGCCAACTGATTATTATCTAACCACTGTATCACAGCATCACATTCCTGTTTTGCTGTGTTCTTTTCCGATTCACTCAGTTTATCTCCAGCTTCGTCCAGAGCTTGTTTTACACCAAAGACATAGCTTTCTAGTTGATTTTTAGCTGCTATTTTAACTCTTTGTTTTTCGTCTTCTTCCTTATATCTTTCAGCTTCATTAAGCATACGATCAATTTCTGATTGTGACAATCTACCTTTGTCATTCTTAATGACAATGTTTTTCGAACGTCCAGAACTGTTGTCTTTGGCCGAAACATTCAAAATACCATTAGCATCTAGATCAAAAGTCACATCAATTTTAGGTACTCCTCTTGGAGCTGGAGGAATTCCAGTCAAATCAAAAGTTCCCAAAAGATTGTTGTCTTTAGTCATTGCCCTCTCTCCTTCAAATACTTGAATAGTAACTGCTGGTTGATTGTCAGCATAAGTGGTGAAAGTTTGAGTTTGCTTGCATGGAATAGTACTATTTCTTTCGACTATCTTAGTCATAACACCTCCAGCAGTTTCAATTCCCAATGAAAGCGGTGTCACATCAACAAGTAGTACATCTTGAATTGCAGAACTGGTGTCTCCACTTAGTATAGCTGCTTGAACAGCAGCACCATATGCTACTGCTTCATCTGGATTAATGGATAGATTGAGAGACTTACCACAGAAGTAGTTCTGCAACAAACTTTGAATCTTAGGTATTCTGGTAGAACCGCCGACTAATACTACATCGTGTATTGCTCCTTTGTCCAGTTTAGCGTCAGCCAACGCCTTTTCAACAGGTTGTAGAGTTGATCTGAACAAATCAGCACAAAGTTCTTCAAAGCGTGCTCTTGATACTCTTGTGTAGAAATCGATACCCTCCATCAATGCATCAATCTCTATGGTGGCTTCCGAGCTTGAGGACAGTGTTCTTTTGGCTCTTTCAGCAGCAGTTCTGAGACGTCTTAAAGCTCTAGGATTTGTCTTCACGTCTTTTTTGAATTTTCGCTTGAATTCTTCTGCTAGATGTGATACTAGTCTATTGTCAAAGTCTTCTCCTCCCAGATGTGTATCACCAGCTGTTGATTTAACTTCAAATATTGACCCCTCATCAATTTGGAGGATAGACACATCAAAAGTTCCACCACCCAAGTCGAATATTAACACATTTCTCTCACCCTTCAAGTTCTTGTCCAAACCATACGCCAAAGCAGCAGCTGTGGGCTCATTAATAATTCTCATAACATTCAAGCCAGCAATTGCACCGGCATCCTTTGTGGCTTGCCTTTGAGAGTCATTGAAATAAGCTGGCACAGTTATTACAGCATCAGTAACATTCTTACCCAAGTATGCTTCAGCAGTCTCCTTCATTTTGGTTAATACCATTGAACTTATTTCTTCTGGGGCAAACACTTTACGTTCACCTTTGAATTCGACTTGGATTTTCGGTTTACCGCAATCATTGATTACTTTGAAAGGCCAATGTTTCATGTCTGATTGAGTTTTTTCATCATCGAATCGTCTACCAATCAGTCTCTTGGCATCAAACACAGTGTTGCTTGGATTCATAGCTACTTGGTTTTTCGCTGCATCTCCAATCAACCGTTCTGTGTCTGAGAATGCAACGTAACTCGGAGTAGTTCTATTTCCTTGGTCGTTGGCAATGATCTCCACCTTTCCATTTTGCCACACTCCGACACAAGAATAGGTAGTTCCTAAATCAATTCCGATAGCTGTTTTTCCGACCATATTAACACAATAATCGAACTATATAATAAACACTTACAAGATAAAAGTATAATATATGAAAATAATAGTAAAGGAACACTAAGTGAAAATCACTCGGATAGTTTTAAAAGCGTTTGTAATGTATCACTCGATTCACAATTAACTGCTGTCGTTATGAATTCAAACTGATGCCGTGCTATCTACCAGTCGCGTATATATAACCTTGTAGAATTTTCTAGAATGATCGGCGGTGTTCGTGTCGTTTCGACGCCCTTCCCTTCACCACTCACTGTACATAACAATAATATTATGGTCTGCAGAACGTTCTCGAATTTTCTATAATCTTTAACGTGTAACTACTTATTTTTAAATGAATTCTAAACTATTTTTCTTTGATTTATATTTTCTTAGCATGTGTAAAATGATAAAATATTTCTGTATTTTAGTATAGTCTGACATTCGAAAATCAATTTATGTGGCTATTATTAGTTTAATAAACAAATCAATCTTTTTTATTTTATTGTCTACGTCAGACATATGAAATTTTCATAAACTCTTCTATGCAAAGTTTAATAGTTATAAAATGTATTTATACAAAAGGATAAATGTTTTAATTTATTATATGTATAATAATGAAATGTACTATGTTTTGTGAAAATGTAATGCCAGATTTTTATATATACATATATTATATGAAAAAATTGACATGCTAGGTGGTACTATTAAAACCATTCCTGTATTAAAGTTTTCCGCTAAATTTCTAATTATTTTATAAATTACAAAAAACACTAAATATTTTAAAATAGAATAAGTATGCACCCAAGACAGTCAAGAGAGTACACTGCTTAAGTATGATAGTATCTTTAATAATTAAAAATAATAATTTGTTAAAAATACATAAAGGAATTATATAAATGAAATTTATTACATTTGATTGAAACAAAAATTGATAAAATTAATAAAAATTAAAATACTAAGAAAAAAATACTAGATAAAAATTTCCATTTAATCAATCATCACAAAAATATTATTTGCGAAACATCCTGTACGTCATCTTCATCATCCAGAGTAAGTTCTAAGACACTAAAGACAGTATCTTCCTTATTATCAACATCTATTTGTTAATTATCACGCATATTGAGAGCTAGAAAAAATAATGTTAGCTTTGATGCGAAGCTGAGAAGGTATTGGTTTTACTATGATGTGTTTTTTTTTTTTTTTTTGTGTGTTACCACTTTTTCTCAGCTCTCACCGAACGGATTTCTTTCAACGATACGTCAAAAGATCACAAATTGTATNTGTCTGTTACCACTTTTTCTCAGCTCTCACCGAACGGATTTCTTTCAACGATACGTCAAAAGATCACAAATTGTATCTAGTCGAAGACATTACCCTTCAAAATTGAAAAAATTTCCCTCGTTCCCCGTAAATGGGGGAAACCTCCAAAAAAATTACAAATTTAAAAATCGCTAATTTTCAAAATTTTTTCAATTTTTTTTATTAAAAACTGCCGTAATTTTTTCAAAAATAATCATATCAATATAATTTTTTTTTATATAGATGCTTGATGTCTTTACCTATTATTTGGTATATTTTTTTTGTAATTTTGACTTTTTTTCTGCCCACAGGGGGGGATTTAAAATGACAACTTTTTCACAAAAAATTTACTTTTTCAACTTAACTTTTGAAAATGTTCCGGAAGGTCTGACACTTTTATATATATCTTAAATTAAAGCTAATGTAATATACTTTAATTTGAAAAAAAAAAATTTGACCTCTGGACTTGTCTTCACGGCGAAAATGGCTACCGAATGCTATTTTCGTGTGAAAATTCTCGATTTTATTATTTATATAATATTTAACTTTATAATGCTATAACTTATTGAAAAGTTTATGGATACACACAATTTTTTTATGAGAAATAATATTTTTTAGTAAACCCTTTTTCATTTGACATACTTTATCTTTATCGAAATATTAATAAGGAACCAGCAGATCAAGTAGCTTTTGGAATAAAACACCAATTTTTTTTAAATTAAACACTATCTAAAGATTTGCATCGAAGCGTTTATTTTTGATAGTGATTTTAATCACTGTCNTTTATTTTTGATAGTGATTTTAATCACTGTCAGATATCATTATACTTGATCATACTATAACACGTCACAACTGTGCCGCGACCCCCCTGTGCTGGGTTTTTTTATATTAATAATAGATTTGAGCAATTTCTATTTCAATTTCCTTACTTGGCAAATTTAAAATATTTAGTATTTCAAAAATTATAAAGTGTCGTGGACCATTTTTATTTCTTTACTTATTTGGACCTTCGATGTCTGACTCTATTTTCTTTTCAAACCAAAACGTTCATTTGGCCGTGGTAGAATTTTTAACGCGACAGCACAGAGACCCATTCGCTCAATTTAACGATTTTTTTTTATGTATTTTTAACAAATTATTATTTTTAATTATTAAAGATACTATCATACTTAAGCAGTGTACTCTCTTGACTGTCTTGGGTGCATACTTATTCTATTTTAAAATATTTAGTGTTTTTTGTAATTTATAAAATAATTAGAAATTTAGCGGAAAACTTTAATACAGGAATGGTTTTAATAGTACCACCTAGCATGTCAATTTTTTCATATAATATATGTATATATAAAAATCTGGCATTACATTTTCACAAAACATAGTACATTTCATTATTATACATATAATAAATTAAAACATTTATCCTTTTGTATAAATACATTTTATAACTATTAAACTTTGCATAGAAGAGTTTATGAAAATTTCATATGTCTGACGTAGACAATAAAATAAAAAAGATTGATTTGTTTATTAAACTAATAATAGCCACATAAATTGATTTTCGAATGTCAGACTATACTAAAATACAGAAATATTTTATCATTTTACACATGCTAAGAAAATATAAATCAAAGAAAAATAGTTTAGAATTCATTTAAAAATAAGTAGTTACACGTTAAAGATTATAGAAAATTCGAGAACGTTCTGCAGACCATAATATTATTGTTATGTACAGTGAGTGGTGAAGGGAAGGGCGTCGAAACGACACGAACACCGCCGATCATTCTAGAAAATTCTACAAGGTTATATATACGCGACTGGTAGATAGCACGGCATCAGTTTGAATTCATAACGACAGCAGTTAATTGTGAATCGAGTGATACATTACAAACGCTTTTAAAACTATCCGAGTGATTTTCACTTAGTGTTCCTTTACTATTATTTTCATATATTATACTTTTATCTTGTAAGTGTTTATTATATAGTTCGATTATTGTGTTAATATGGTCGGAAAAACAGCTATCGGAATTGATTTAGGAACTACCTATTCTTGTGTCGGAGTGTGGCAAAATGGAAAGGTGGAGATCATTGCCAACGACCAAGGAAATAGAACTACTCCGAGTTACGTTGCATTCTCAGACACAGAACGGTTGATTGGAGATGCAGCGAAAAACCAAGTAGCTATGAATCCAAGCAACACTGTGTTTGATGCCAAGAGACTGATTGGTAGACGATTCGATGATGAAAAAACTCAATCAGACATGAAACATTGGCCTTTCAAAGTAATCAATGATTGCGGTAAACCGAAAATCCAAGTCGAATTCAAAGGTGAACGTAAAGTGTTTGCCCCAGAAGAAATAAGTTCAATGGTATTAACCAAAATGAAGGAGACTGCTGAAGCATACTTGGGTAAGAATGTTACTGATGCTGTAATAACTGTGCCAGCTTATTTCAATGACTCTCAAAGGCAAGCCACAAAGGATGCCGGTGCAATTGCTGGCTTGAATGTTATGAGAATTATTAATGAGCCCACAGCTGCTGCTTTGGCGTATGGTTTGGACAAGAACTTGAAGGGTGAGAGAAATGTGTTAATATTCGACTTGGGTGGTGGAACTTTTGATGTGTCTATCCTCCAAATTGATGAGGGGTCAATATTTGAAGTTAAATCAACAGCTGGTGATACACATCTGGGAGGAGAAGACTTTGACAATAGACTAGTATCACATCTAGCAGAAGAATTCAAGCGAAAATTCAAAAAAGACGTGAAGACAAATCCTAGAGCTTTAAGACGTCTCAGAACTGCTGCTGAAAGAGCCAAAAGAACACTGTCCTCAAGCTCGGAAGCCACCATAGAGATTGATGCATTGATGGAGGGTATCGATTTCTACACAAGAGTATCAAGAGCACGCTTTGAAGAACTTTGTGCTGATTTGTTCAGATCAACTCTACAACCTGTTGAAAAGGCGTTGGCTGACGCTAAACTGGACAAAGGAGCAATACACGATGTAGTATTAGTCGGCGGTTCTACCAGAATACCTAAGATTCAAAGTTTGTTGCAGAACTACTTCTGTGGTAAGTCTCTCAATCTATCCATTAATCCAGATGAAGCAGTAGCATATGGTGCTGCTGTTCAAGCAGCTATACTAAGTGGAGACACCAGTTCTGCAATTCAAGATGTACTACTTGTTGATGTGACACCGCTTTCATTGGGAATTGAAACTGCTGGAGGTGTTATGACTAAGATAGTCGAAAGAAATAGTACTATTCCATGCAAGCAAACTCAAACTTTCACCACTTATGCTGACAATCAACCAGCAGTTACTATTCAAGTATTTGAAGGAGAGAGGGCAATGACTAAAGACAACAATCTTTTGGGAACTTTTGATTTGACTGGAATTCCTCCAGCTCCAAGAGGAGTACCTAAAATTGATGTGACTTTTGATCTAGATGCTAATGGTATTTTGAATGTTTCGGCCAAAGACAACAGTTCTGGACGTTCGAAAAACATTGTCATTAAGAATGACAAAGGTAGATTGTCACAATCAGAAATTGATCGTATGCTTAATGAAGCTGAAAGATATAAGGAAGAAGACGAAAAACAAAGAGTTAAAATAGCAGCTAAAAATCAACTAGAAAGCTATGTCTTTGGTGTAAAACAAGCTCTGGACGAAGCTGGAGATAAACTGAGTGAATCGGAAAAGAACACAGCAAAACAGGAATGTGATGCTGTGATACAGTGGTTAGATAATAATCAGTTGGCTGACAAGGAAGAATACGAGTACAAACTTAAAGAACTGCAAGGCAAGTGTTCTTCATTAATGATGAAAATGCATGGGGGACAAGGAGGAGGTGGTTCCCAAATGCCTGGAAATAGTAGGTTCCCTGGAGAACAACAGTCAAGAGGACCAACTGTTGAGGAAGTAGACTAATGTAAAGTTGTATTTGTTAATTGCTATTCATAAATGTTCTCATTTTGTATAATCCATGTTCCTTTATGATTAAGATTTATTTATTGTTATAGAAGTTATAACTTAAATTTATACGTATTTATATGTGTACTACTTATGTTTGCCAATGAATGTTGTATGATCATGTAATGTCATTGAACTTTATGTTTTAATAAAGTATATATTTATAGATTTTACTTACTTTTTTGTGTTTGTAGTATAATAATTTTAATCTCCATTAAATAGAAGTACATCAAATATCAATAAAAAATGAAAACAAGCTTAGAAGAATGTTACAAAGAAAATGATGAAAAAAACAAATTTGTAAATTAGCTACTAAATCCATTAGAGTTAAAAAAACAAAGTATAGTTAATAAATGATAGTACCAAAAAATACTTTATTTATATTAAAAAAATTTAATTACAAACGTGGATCAAATATTTTATCCACTACCCGACAAAATGTTTCATTATGGGACTAAAATTGATCCCCTTAAATGTAATCCTGATTACGTATCTTCACACATGTATTTAATATCCGTAGTGTTAATAACTTCTGAAAGTTTACTTGATGGATATAATGATTTTTGATTTTGTTTATTCTAGTTTTAGTAATTGTATTTATTATTTAAAGAAAAAATTATTAAAAATAAAAAAATATTTTTTTATTAATAAACTGTTTAATTACATATTTGATAATTCATATATTTTGTAAGTTTAGCAAATGTTTCATTTGTTTGAATTTTGGTTATTGTTGTCACTAATATATTAAGTGAACATTTATATATTTCCAATTGATAGGGAATGGACAATTTTTTTTTCACTATTTAAATTACCCTTATTAAGACTAATTTTGTTTAATTTCAAAATAATTGTTATGACTATTGATACAAGGATTATTTTTTTATTCATTTATTATAAATATTTTTCACACAGAGTTTTTCTTTTTGTACTAGACATTGATTAGATGTTAATTGATTAGAGATCATTAAATATTATTTCTTTAAATTTTTACATTTAAATCATCTAAATGATTACTTTGTAGTCATAGACATTTTGTTGTAAATATTTTTTTCTGTGTGCTTGGTTATACTGTAAATAATTTATATCGATCACTCCTGTTGGTCGGTTTTCGGTGATAACATTTTAATGTAAACATTATTTATCTGAAAAATCAATTAACATTTTTCTTGTACGGTTATTTATGAGTTTTTACGTAGATTGTTAGTTAGGTGTCTAGTTTATTAATTATACATTCATTCCATAGGTAATTAAATTGTATTTTTAAAAAACAGTAAATTTTTTTTTTAATTTGGTAATTTTACGACTTTCACAATGCAATTATAGAAACCGTTATAGTCTTGTTTTCTCATAATTATTTTTTTGTAGCTTCTGAGAAAAATGTTGACCTACTAATTTTTATTAATACTATTTAAATTATTACTGGAATTTTTAACACAGAGAGGAAAATTTCTTTTTAATTATATTAATGTCATTTTTACTTTAGAAGTGTAGCTATGAAGAGAGTCAATGCTCAGCAACCAGCTTTACACAAAGTTATAATGGTTGGTAGTGGTGGTGTTGGTAAATCAGCACTTACACTTCAATTCATGTATGATGAGGTATATGATTTTTGTTGGTTTACGTACAATTGAAATAGATTATTTTTGACACGCCCTATTTCAGTTTGTTGAAGATTATGAGCCAACCAAAGCAGACTCCTATAGAAAGAAAGTTGTATTAGATGGTGAAGAAGTTCAAATTGACATTTTAGATACAGCTGGTCAAGAAGACTATGCAGCTATCCGTGATAATTATTTTCGAAGTGGAGAAGGCTTTTTATGTGTATTTTCTATTACAGAAGATGATAGTTTTCAAGCAACAATGGAATTTAGGTAATTACTATTGCAATTATAATTTACAATCAAATAAATAATATTTTTCTAATACTTTTTATAAAAAAAAAATTGTATAATTGAAGTATATTGATGAATATTTGCATACTGTTTATTTCAGGTATTTTTAAGGAAATTTAAATTATTATATGGATTATTATTAATATAACTCTTAAATAACTACAAAAGAATGTTTTACATAATTCTGTGTTATTCTCAGACTTTTAGTGTAGAACATATAAAAGAAACATAGTTTTAGTTTTTTAGTTTTAGTTATTATTGAGGTGGACATAATGCCCATGCACTCAGACCTGTTGGTCCATTGTGCGCACCTCATACCGAATTGTCTTGATTCGGTTTACCCACCTAAGTGTTATCACCAAAGTGTTAATACATTACCAACCATAAAGTCACCTCTAGAGATGACCAAAGAGTCCTGTCTTTCTGGCGAAATTAAGTATCTCCCTGGGTTTTAGGTTTTTAATATCCTCTTTTTCAGGAAATGGTTTATTCAAGTAGTTTGATCTTAGTGTGGACAAGGCTTCACATTCGCACATGATGTGAAATGAGTCTTCCTCTTCTACTCCACATTTTCTGCACAATGGTGATTCCGATACCCCCATTGCGTTAAGATGCTTAAGCAGGTGACCATGTCCTGTCAGTAGACCAGTCAGGGTGCTTATTTGATGTCTAGTCATGCTATTAAGATCACCCAGCAATAAACCAGGGGTCTTGATAAACATTTTAGATTGTCTAGGTACTACCAAGTACNAAAAGAAACATAAGTACAATTGTTCATTTATCTTCATATATAGTTATTTTTGGCCAAATTTATTTTAAATAAATTTATTAGATGATACTAACTTAGGTGTATGCTTGTATTAAATAAAAGAAAATGCTAAATTTAGTTACAAATATTTTTTTTACTATCTCTTATAGGAAGATTACACGGGAAAAGCAAGGTGTGTCAATATTTTTATAAATTGTGAAAATAAAATTTTCAATCAAGTACACCATAACTTCAGAATAATTCACTTTTTCCACTTGTTTGGTGGATTAAAAGATACATTGTGTCACCAAAATCTCAATTTTGAAGAAAATTGTTTATTTTGTTATTCTGTACCCTTCATATATTTTATCAATTCCTCTTCTAATTTAATTATATACTTAAATCGCAATAGAGAAAACTAAGTTTTAATCGTTTTGCAACAATTATATCATATTTTTTTTTTCTATTACAGTATATAATAAAAATTTGCTTAAAAAATGATCATTAGAATTCAAACAAATTACTATTGTTGTAGAGAGCAAATTTTACGAGTAAAAAATGATGAAAATATTCCATTTTTGCTGGTGGGAAACAAAGGAGATTTGACAGACAAACGAAAAGTTTTACTACAAGATGCACAAGCTAGAGCTGAAGAATGGAAAGTGCCATATGTAGAAACATCTGCAAAAACGAGAGATAATGTTGATAAAGTATGTTTTAGCCATCACCTAATATTTTAAGTAATTTTTAAAAATTTTTTTAAAGGTATTTTTTGACTTAATGCGTGAAATTCGTGCACGTAAGAAAGATGATGTCAAAGGAGCAAATGGACGAGGAAAAGATAAGAGCAGACGAAAGAAGTTGAAATGCACATTAATTTAATGTACTTTATACACACCTACAAAAATAAAAAGGATTATCAAATTATTATTTATTATTATTTTAATTAATATAGTTTTCTTTTTTATTCTATTCATTGAATTTGTATTTTTTATACATCCTAAATATGATGTCTTTACTTCTTATTTTTTTAATCATGTAAAATTTGATTCTCCAGACTTTTTATTGTATTTTTATTTTTTCTAAAAAAAAAAAAAAAACTACTTCTACAACAATTGTTTTTCTATTATTAGCCTATTACTTTAAAATCTTATCATATATTTATATTTTATGTATTATTTTTATACAATTATTAAATGTCAATTAAAGAATAGTTTTTATTCATTGAAATTTATTTTATGTTAAGTATCAATTCATATTAATTATAACAAAATATGAATTTAGATTATCTCTTTTGACAATAAAAATTTTAAATAAGGGCTCTAAAAAATTTTTAAAATTGCACTTATCTCTTCTATGTATTTAAAAATCAAGTGCAATTTTACAATATATTTTGATTGAACTTAAATATATTAAAATTTAAAAAATATAAATATTTACATGTATATACAGTAAACTCCCGATTATCCGCGAGCGGATTATCCGCGTTGCGGATTATCCGCTGTCTTCCACGGAATCGTCTACATACCTATTTGTAAACAAATATTTAATACTAATACACGTGTATGTACTTCTATTAATACACATTATGTTATGTTCTTTTAATACTATTCCCTGGAATGTACATTGCACATAATTATCGGTTAAATTGGGCTACGATAGTCGATTATGCGATAACGTACATTACATATTGCATTTGATCACTAATAACGCGTATATCTATTTAGTCTTCTGTCTACCATCGACTAGAACTTTGTGCGTTTCGCGTGTGAAAAAATGAGTGAAAAAAGAAAAAAAGTGCTATTGTCAATTCAAGACAAACTTGAATTGATTAACGATATTAAAAAGGGTACGTCGAAAAAACAAATAAGCTTGAAGTATGGAATAGGAGAAAGCACCGTTAGAGACATTTTTAAACAGAAAGATAAATTAATGAAATTCGCGTCCGCATCTGACAACAACTCATCAATGAAAAAAAGAAAAACCATGAAAACTAGCACTTATAAAGAATTAGATGCGGCTCTTTTACAGTGGATAAATCAAGTTAGAAGTGAGGGAACTCCTGTTTCAGGACCTATTGTTTCTGCAAAAGCAAAACAGTTTTTTGAAATGTTAGGTTTAGAAGGGAAATTTGACGCGTCATCAGGGTGGTTGACAAGGTTTAAAAAACGCCACGGAATAAGAGAAATTGGAATTAACGGCGATAAATTAAGTTGCGATGAACAGGCAGCGGAAGATTTCAAAATTAAATTTGAACAGTTTCTTCAAAAAGAGAAAATATCATATGAACAATTGTATAGCGCTGATGAGTCGGGGCTGTTTTGGAAATGTTTGCCAACACGAACACTTGCATTTGAAAGCGAGCGGCACGCACCAGGACATAAAAGCAGTAAAGAACGCCTAACCATAATGACGTGCAGCAATGCAACAGGTTCTCAAAAATTAAAACTGGTAGTGATTGGTAAATCCAAAAAACCGAGATCTTTTAAAGGAACCAGAGCTGAAAACCTTCCCGTACACTACTTTAACCAAAAAAAAGCCTGGATAAATCAAGAAATATTTAAAGAGTGGTTTGAAAAAAAATTTATTCCCCAAGTAAGAGAACATCTCAAGTCTCAAAACTTACCTCAGAAAGCTGTACTGCTTATTGATAATGCCCCATCCCACCCAGTAAACTTGAAATCGGAAGATGGAAATATTTTTGTCAAATTTTTGCCTCCTAATGTCACAGCTCTCATCCAACCAATGGACCAGGGGGTAATTGCTTCTATAAAAAAAAATTATAGAACAAGTTTGCTTAAAAAAAGAATTGAAGAGGGCAATGATCTTAAAAGTTTTTGGAAAGATTACACAATTCTTGATAGCATTTATGACATAAATACTGCTTGGGGGTTAGTTAAGCAAACTACGTTAGTCAAGTCTTGGAGAAAAATTTTACCGTGTGTGGAAAATACTTTGATAGAGGAAGAAGAAGAAGTGTCTGCTTTTGATTTGGCTAATTTTTCTAAATCTCTTACTGGAGGAGAGAATTTTGACGAAGAAAACATTAATGAGTGGATAAATTGTGATGCCAATGATCCAGGATTTGAGCGTCTTAGTGATGAACAAATAGTAAGTGGAGCATTAGATACAGTTTCGGAAAGTGAAGGTGAAGAAGAAGAAAACGATGAAATAAATGATGTAAAGCAAGTGAGCCATGAAGAAGCTCTAAAACATATAGACGGGATCATTAAATATCTAGAAGAACAAGACGATACAACTCTGTGTGACAAAATGTTATTAAAAAAACTTCAATCACAAGTTAAAAAGAAGAGTTTTCAAACAAAGAAACAAAAACTTTTGACTGATTTTTTTAATTAATTATTTATTCATTTAACATTTATTTAAATATTAAATATTATTTATTTTAATAATTTATATTTATTATTATAAATATATTGTGAATAAATTTAAATAAATTCAATTTCAACTTAGTTTTTATTGTAAAATTTAATTTTGCGGATTATCCGCGGAATTCGTTTATCCGTGGATGTCCTGCCACCCTATTCCACGGATAATCGGGAGTTTACTGTATAT